AGCTACTTGGGAGGCTGAGGCAGGAGACTCGCTTGAGCCCAGGAGTTGGAGATTGCTGTGCGCTGTGATGCCACAGTACTCTACCCAGGGGGATAGCTTGAGGCTCTTTCTCAAAAAAAAGAAAAAGAAAAAATGGTGCCAATGGACTTGCTCAACAAGGGATTGCCTTCATTTTTTTTTCTTGAGACAGAGCCTCAACCTGTCCCCCTGGGTAGAGTGACATGGCATCACAGCTCACAGCAACCTCTAACTCCTGGGCTCAAGTGACTCTCCTGCCTCTGTCTCCCAGGTAGCTGGGACCACAGGTGCCCACCACAACGCCCGGCTATTTTTTGGTTGCAGCCGTCATTGTTGTTTGGCGGCCCAGGCTGGATTTGAACCCTCCACCTTAGGTGTATGTGGCTGGTGCCTTAGCCACTTGAGCCACAGGTGCCGAGCCCACATCCACCTAATTAAAAAAAAAATGTATTTGTAAGGAGGCACCTGTGACTCAAAAGGGTAGGGCGCTGGTCCCATAGGCTGGAGGTGGCAGGTTTAAATCCAGACCCGGCCAAAAAAAAAAAAAAAAAAAACAACCTGCAAAAACAATTTATTTGTACAGGCCAGGCGCAGTGGCTCACACCTATAATCCTAGCACTCTGGGAGGCCAAGGTGGATGGATTGCTTGAGCTCACAAGGTTGAGATTAGCCTGAACAAGAGTGAGACCCTATCTCTACTAAAAATAGAAACTGAGGCAAGAGGATCGCTTGGGCCCAAGAGTTGGATGTTGCTGCCATGACACTCTACCCAGGGTGACAGCTTGAGACTCTGTCTCAAGAAAACATAATTTTTTTTTTCAGTAGAGACAAGATCTTGATGTTGCCCAGGTTGGTCTTCAACTCCTGTCCTCTAGTGATCTTCCCTATCTCCCAAAGTGCTAGGATTACAGGTATGAGCCACCACACTCCTTGGTTCTAGGAATCTTCCTGTCTCAGCCTCCTGAGTAGCTAGAACTACAGGTGCTTGCCACCATGCCTGGATAATTTTTCCAAAAACTATTTGTTTTGAGACAGTTTCAATTTGTCACTCCCAATAGAGTGCCATGGTGTCATAGCTCACATCAACCTCAAAGTCTTGGGCTCAAGCAATTCTCTTGCCTCAATCTATCAAGTAGCTGGGACTACAGGCACCTGCCACAGCGCTCAGCTATTTTTAGAGATGGGATCTTGTTCTAGCTCAGGCTGGTCTTGAACTCGAGAGCTCAGGTGATTGACCGACCTCGGCCTTTCAGAGTGCTGGGATAACAGGCGTGAGCCACCATATCCAGCCATAATTTTTCAATTTTTGTATGGACAGGGGCCTTGCTCTTGCTCAGGCTGGTCTTAAACTAATGACATCAAACAATTCTCCCGTCTTGTCTTCCCATAGTGCTAGGATTGAAGCATAAGTTCTATATGCACTCTGGGAAACCAAAATCTGTGACTCGCTTTATTGTGATACTCGCTGTATTGTAGTAGTTTGGAAGTGAAACTGAAATACCTCCTCAGTATGCCTGGGTAACCCTGCAGTTATGTGTAATGCACTGTGTCTTTTATTTGTGTGTGTAAAAGCACTTTTTATGTAATGCATGCTTTATAGGTTCTCAGTAAATGTGAGTTAAATGGTGAATAAAATATAAATGAGTGGATATCTCAAGGGGTGATAAGCCCCTGGGGAAGGTACTAGATAAAGCTGTCCACTCCTAGAGTGTATTCCTTTAGTGGAGATCTGAATACGATTGAGTCCTCACTTCTCTATCAGCTGCACTTATTCCCCTGCCACACCACTCAAGTCAACACCATCAAAATACAGCTGTTACCACCTACCCAGGTTCATTGCCGCTGTTCTAGAGGAAGCCTATACACAGAGACAGCAGATGTTACAGCAGAAAAAGGTGTTTAATTCTGTAGAGTGCTAAGCAGGAAGGTAGGAGTGTCCACCTCCCCAAGAATTTGGGAAACTCAATTTTTTTTTTTTTTGAGACAGAGTCTCAAGCTGTCACCTTGGGTAGAGTGCTGTGGCATCACAGCTCACAGCTACCTCAAACTCTTGGGCTTAAGCGATTCTCTTGCCTCAGCCTCCCAAGTAGCTGGGACTACAGGTGCCTGCCACAACGCCCAACTATTTTTTGGTTGCAGTTGTCATTGTTACTTAGCAGGCCCTGTCCAGGTTCGAACCCGCCACCCTAGGTGTATGTGGCTGGCGCCATGCCAACTGAGCTACGGTGCCACTGGAAGATAAGATTTTTAAGGATAGTTTGGTGGGCAAAGGATTAGGCAATAGGTTTGGTAATTGGCTGAGTTCAAGGAACCATCTGTTCCTTGGTATGGTCTAGACTCTTGAAGATATGTCAAAAACTACCTTTAGGTTCTGAAGAGCGATGTTATCTACAGAGAAAGTTAAGAATCTTTGTGACCACCAGCTATATGACTCCAGAATAGCAATTATAAAGAAGCCAACAAGGGGACAGTGGCTAATTACTGTCATTATTTCTAGCTGGTCCTATGTCTTATTTTTAGTTAGGACCTTGCCACAGTTCTCAGATTGTACCTCTTTATTAATTTTTAAGGGTAATTTCATAACCAGGCGTAGTAGCACGCCCCTGTAGTCTCAGCTACTCAGGAGGCTGAGGCAGGAAAAACTCTTGAGCCCAGGAGTTGGAAGTTATAGCGAGCTATGATTAAGCCACTGCATTCCAGCCTGAGTGACAAAGTGAGACCCTGTCTCTATAAAAATAAAAGACTTTAAAAAGCTAAAAACCCCACAAAAATGAACAAAAAACACTATCAAAGTAAAACAGAATGATAGCTATGCAAATACAGCTTCCAGACACAGTCCACAATAACCCTTCACCCCACCACTCATCAATCAGCTTCCTTCTTCTAATCCTCTCATAGAAATTCTAAAGCAGCCCTAGAGGGTCCTCTGCTGGTTGGGGGTAAGGGGTCAGACTCCAGGAAGGGAAAGGGTGGGGTGGGGCCTGGGCACTGGGGAGCAGTGGGGAGGGGAAGTAGGTTGACTTCTGGGCCCAGAAGGGCTCCTAGAGTCTTATTCTAGGTAAAGGACTGGTTTTCTTGAACCTCAGAAGGTTGGGGAACCACATCCTGGTCTCACCAGCCTATCCGCCTACCTACCCTGGGGTTAGCAGCCATCTCAGCCTCACACTCCCTCACACACTTAGGCAACTTGCCCACAAGCTGGTCCTCTTTGCCCCCTAGAGACCCAGATGTCTACATTAGCAGCATCCTCTATCCTCAGGGGGAATACGCATTTGATGCTCGAGCTCCCTGGTGGTTGAGGTCCTTGACAAATGATGTATGAGTCCTCTTTTTTTTTTTTCAGACAGAATGTCTATCTCCCAGAATAGAGTGCCGAGGCATCAGCCTAACTCACGGCAACCTCAGCCTCCTGGGCTCAAGCTATCTTCTGCTTTAGCCTCCCAAATAGCTGGGACTAAGGTACTCACCACAGCGCCCAGATAATTTTTCTATTTCTAGTAGAGGTTTCACTCTTGCTTAGGCTAGTTTTCAACTACTGAGCTCAAGAAATCCTCCCGTCTTGGCCTCCCAGAGTGCTAGAATTACAGGCATGAGCCACAGCATCAAGCCTTGTGTGAGTCCTCTGTGTCACAGGAAGCTCCCCACCCCCATCTGGTGATCAAAGGCGTGACTGGCCACAAGTAGTGGGTCATACCAGTTCTACCCAGACCTCACGGCTCAAGTCCACTTGGGACACTCTGACATGGACTGGATGCCGTTGTTCATCTTGATCATGGCCCATCCAGGTGACTGGGTGTGCGCGGAGGATCCCCAGGGATGTGGGGCTGGGAGGAAGAAGATGGGGAAGGCTGGACTAGAGGCCCCAGGGAGCAGGTCTGGTGAGAACTGAACATTGAGATTTATTATCTAGGGTCTAGACATATAATTAGGAGTTTGAGAGACCCAATTATATCTAAGATAAATTTCTTAGTGAAACTGTTTTTTAATGGACTAAGAGACCTTAACTATGAGCCATTTCCATGAACTAAAACAGAAGTTCTTAAAGATTCCTGGGAACCTGGGACAAATTTTCTGGCTCCACACCAGATCTACTGAATGAAAAACTCTTGAGGGTGGGCCCAAGAATTTGTCTTTTTATAAAAAATAATATTTATTTTTTTCATTTTTTGAAATCAAGTCTTACTCTGTCCCCCTGGCTAGAATGGCATCATCATAACTCATTGGAATTTCAAACTCCTGAGTTTAAGCAATCCTCTTGTCTCAGCTTCCCAAGTAGCTGAGACTACAGGTGCATACCAGTACACCTGGCTAGTTTTTCTTATTTTTAGTAGAGACAGTGTCTCACTCTTGCTCAAGTTGGTCTCAAACTCCTGAGCTTAAGCAATCCACCTGCCTGGGCCCCGCCAAGAGTGCTAGGATTACAGGCATGAGCCACCGTGCTTGGCCCCAGGAATTTGTCTTTTTCTTTCTTTCTTTCTTTTTTTTTTTTTGTGAGACAGAGTTTCAACAAAAACAGTTTTATGGTTGGGGGTAGTGTTGGCCTGGGTAGAATGCCATGGGGTCACAGCTCACAGCAACCTCAAACTCTTGGGCTTAAGTGATTCTTTTGCCTCAGCCTCCCAAGTAGCTGGGACTACAGGCGACCACCACAACACCTGGCTATTTTTTGTTTCTAGTTGTCATTGTTGTTTGGTGGGCCTGGGTTGGGTTTAAACCTGCCAGTCTGGTGTATGTGGCTGGCGCTCTAGCTGCTGAGCTACAAGCGCGAGCCCCAGGAATTTGTCTTAACAAACAAGCTGGAGAACAACTGGAGTAGAATGACTAGTGAATTTCCCTAGCTAGAGGATTTAATTAGAAATTTTAATATTTGGATGAGTTAAATAGGAATCTCAACCAATTACAGTCATGTCTTCACTTGGAGATTTAATTAGTTCATGCTCTTTAACAAAAAATAAAAGAGGAAGGATGGCTTACTATAGAAAGCCATTGGTGCTAAAAAAATACCTGAAAAAACACAATTAGTTTTTTCATTTTTTTTTTTTTTTTTTTTTGAGACAGAGTCTCACTATGTCACCCGTGGTAGAGTGATATGGCGTCACAGCTCACAGCAAGAGGTTTGGGCTCAAGCAATTCTCTTGCCTCAGCCTTCCAAGTCCCCAAGTAGTTGGGACTACAGGCACCTGCTACAGTAATGCCTGGCTATGTTTTGGTTGCAGTTGTCATTGTTGTTTAGTAGGCCTGGGCCAGGCTCTAACTCACCAGCCTCAGTGTATGTGGCCGGCGCCCTACTCACTGAGCTACAGGCACTGAGCCAAAAAACATAATTAGTAATATTAGTTAACTAGGCTACTATTCATTAAGGAACTTTACCCTCACTATGACAGGTTAAATTTCAGCTAGACAAGTTACTAGAGAACATCTAGCTGGAGCAGCAGTTTTCAACCTTTGTAACAATGAAAATACATCCTGCATATCAGATATTTACCTTACGATTCATAACAGTAGTAAAATTACAGTTATGAAGTAGCGATGAAAATAATTTTATGGGCTCGGCGCCTATAGCTCAACCGGCTAAGGCGCCAGCCACGTACACCTAAGGTGGCGGGTTCGAATCCCCAGCCCGGACCCGCCAAACAACAATGACGGCTGCAACCAAAAAATAGCCGGGCGTTGTGGCGGGCGCCTGTGGTCCCAGCTACTTGGGAGGCGGAGGCAGGAGACTCGCTTGAGCCCAGGAGTTGGAGGTTGCTGTGAGCTGTAATGCCACGGCACTCTACCCAGGGGGACAGCTTGAGGCTCTGTCTCAAAAAAAAAAAAAAAAAAAAGAAAATAATTTTATGGTTGGAAGTCACCACAATATGAGGAACTGTATTAAAGGGTCACGGCAATAGGAAAGTTGAGAACCACTGAGGAGGATGATGGTAGAGGGTGAAGGCGAGAGTTGCCATGGGAAAGAATTTGATAAATGATTTAATAAGCAATGTTAAGAAATCAGATTGGGGCTGGGCTTGATGGCTCACACCTATAATATTACCAGTCTGGGAGGCTGAGGTGGAAGGATTGCTTGAGATCAGGAATTTAAGACTAGCCTGAGCAAGAGTGAGACCCTGTCTCTACTAAAAATAGAACAATCAGCTAGGTGTAGTGGTGTGCACCTGTAGTCTCAGCTACTTGGGAAGCTGAGACAAGAGGATTGCTTGAACTCAGGAGTTTGAAATTGCAATGAGTTAGGATGACAGCATTCTAGGCAGGGGACAGAATGAGAATCTATCTCCAAAAGAAATAAATTGGGGCAGCGCCTGTGGCTCAAAGGTGTAGGGCACTGGCCCCATATGCTGGAGGTGGCAGGTTCAAACCCAGCCCCAGCTAAAAAAAAAAAAAAAAAAAAAAGAGAGAAATAAAACAATAGATAAAAAGAAGGAGAAAAAATGAAACTAGTTTGGGAAAGATGAAAGGATTTAATGATTCTCTATGTGTTGGTCCCAATGCACCTGACATGTATTCCAAACTGTCTTGTCTTTTTTCTTTGGAGTAACTAGGAAGCTGGTTCTCTGGGTCTGTTCTCTGCTCACAGGATCCTGTGCTCTCTGGGTGTTCCAGCCTCCCGAAATTCTTACACAAGAAGGATCTTCTGCCTTCCTGCCCTGTTCCTTCAATGCTGGCCAAGGGAGACTGGCCATTGGCTTTGTCAAATGGTTCCGAGACAAGGTGGCTCCAGGGAAGGAGGTGAGGAATGGGACCCCAGAGTTCAGGGGCCGCCTGGTCCCCCTTGCCTCTTCCCGCTTCCTTTGTGACCACCAGGCTGAGCTGCACATCTTGAACATCCGAGGCCATGATGCTGGCATCTACGTGTGCAGGGTGGAGGTCCTGGGCCTGGGTGTTGGGACAGGGAATGGGACTCGGCTGGTGGTGGAGAAAGGTGAGGCATTGGGAGTCAGGGATCCTCCCAGGAAGCCCCCTGCCTTACACCCCTCCTGTGCCTGTGCACACTTCCTCCTCAAGACCCCATTTACCAAGCCCCTTCCTCTACTGTCTCCATCTAGGACATCCTCAGCCAGGGGTTGGTACAGTCTTTCTCCTTCGGGCAGGACTCTATGCCTTCAGTTTTCTGTCTGTGGCCGTGGGCAGCACCCTCTACTACCAGGGCAAATGTGAGTAAAGGACCCAGGGCAATAATGATGGATGAGATGGGAGGGACATAAGAGGGTTGGAGAAGGGGGGACTGAGATCAAGAAGAGAAGGAGACCTTTGGAGTGGCGGCACAGAGCAGCTCTTGTCCTCTCTCCCACCAGGCCACTGTCACCTGGGAACACACTGTCACTCCCTGGACAGCCTCTGAAGAGTCATTCCAGACCGTAATGATCCCAAACCCTCTTCAAAAGACTCCAATAAATCGTGCTCTGCTCCATCATGAACTCCTCCTTATAACTCTCAGACTTTCTTCTCCATTCTCCAGATGCCCAGTACTCCTCCCCCTGGATTCCCCCAGCTCTTAACTCCTTCCCCCAAGTCTGACTTGCAGTGCTCCCAAGGAGGAAGCTTCCCAGCTCCTGTGCCTAGGACCACTCCCACCACTACCCAGAAGCTCAGAATAGCCCCTTTCCTAAGGAGGCTGAGCCTGATTCTCCTGAAAAATGGGGATTATCAGATCTGATTCTTTTTTTTTTTTTTGAGCCAGAGTCTCACTATGTTGCCCTGGGTAGAGTGCCTTGGTGTCACAGCTTACAGCAACCTCTAACTCTTGGGCTTAGGCGATTCTCTTGCCTCAGCCTCTCAAGTAGCTGGGACTACAGGTGCCTGCCACAGTGCCTGGTTATTTTTTGTTGTTGTTGCTGTTTGGCTGGCACAGGTTTGAACCCCCTACCCTCAGTGTATGGGGCCAACGCCCTACTCACTGAGCCATAGGCCCCGCCAAGATTATTCTTACGTATCTACTGCACTTTCCTGCCAGGCCCACAAATACTCTTTTCTGGCCCTCAAAGAAGCTCCAGTCCCTAAACACCCTTATTCATTCAATAAATCTCTACTTGACTCCAGAGTGGGTGCGGGCAGTGCCTGTGGCTCAGAGGAGTAAGGCACTGGCCCCATATGCCGGAGGTGGTGGGTTCAAACCCAGCCCTGGCCAAAAAAAAAAAAACAACTGCCAGAGTGGGTAGGACAGTGAGCCACATAAGTTTTGATGATGGTCATTGTGAATGGGGCTTGAGATGGACTGAGAGGACTGAGAGGACGGAGACATAGAAGGTGCGATGGCCATAGTCTTTACTGGATGAACAGCAGGGTGACCCTGACCATCAGCCTGGGTCAAGGGAGGCATCTGGGACACTCAGGTGGGTTTTTTATTGGCAATAGAAGCATAATCGCCACTGGGGTCCACATTGGTGCCTTCCTCTTCTCTGTTCTGGAGGTCAAGTCCCTTGGTGCTGCTCACTGGCAGCCTCTGTAGAGATGCGTAATGGAGCTCTTGCTCTGGGAGCTGGGCCTGGCCAAGGCAGAAGGTGCTGATGGAAGGAGCCACCCTTGGGTCCTTCCCTGCTGTGTTCTTGGTGTTCTGAGTTCTGCAGCCACCTCCTGTCTTTCTCACCTCCCTGCCTCTCTGGAGCCTCTTTCCCTTCCTCTCTCTCTCCTCTTTCTCTCTCTCCCTCTTTGTCTCTCCATCTCCCTCCCTCCCTCTTTTTCTCCCTCCCCTTCTCTCTCTCTCTTGCCCCTTTCTCTCATTGCCTTCTCTTTGTGTCTCATTTTCTCCCCGTCTCTCACTCTTATCCTCTCTCTCCTACCTTTTCTCTTGGATTCTCTCTCTCTTATTTTCTCCATGTCTCTCTTTCTTGCCCTTATTTTCTCTGCCCCTCTCATGCTCCTGCTTTCTCTCTCCTGTCTTTTGGCCCCTGTCCCTCTTCCTGGCTCTTAGCTGACTTGCTCCCCACCACCCATTCAGGTTCTCTCTTGCCCTCCCCTTCCCTGTTCTCAGACTCACCCAGCTCCTCTCCAGCCTCTTCACTGGAAAAAAAGAAGCAGTTTAGTACAGCCCCATCTCCCAGCGCTCCTCCCTGGCTCCCACCCCCTTGGCAGGGGTTTGTTCACTTGCTGACTTCCTCGGGCTTCCCATGGCCAGACGCCTGGCCTCTCTGATACTCTCACCTCTCCCACCCAACTCCCACCTTCTTCCTCACCCAGGGCCTGTCAGGACTGATGGGGAAGAGAGCAGGAAAGGGGATGGGTATGCTGAGGGAGGCCTTGCTGTGGGGTAAATGAGGGGGGAAGGGGACTCACCTCTGCGATGGAGCCGACATAGGCAGGTGGACAGGATGACCACAGCAAACAGCAGGAGCCCTCCCAGCCCCAAGCCCGCAAAGAGGTAAATTTTTGCTGTAGGGAAGAGGGCTGAAGGTCAGAGGGCCCACTCTCTCTTCAGCCCAGCCCAGGCTCTGGGTTCGTTGGGGGTTTATCACATCCCCTCTCCAATAGTTTTAGAGGCAGAAAACTACACTCTCAGATCTTCACCCACCTCACTTCCTGCCAGGGGTGTGCTCCCTCCCAGCTACCCCAGCTCACCTTATCTGCAACTGCTCATCCCCCACAGGCTTCCCACCATGATCCCTGCTGTTTCTGGGCCTCCTGTGAAGTGCTTTTTCCTCCTGCACTGGCTGCCTGGGAAGCCCTGACTACCTAGTCATGAACTGCACACACCACTGCTCACCCATTACTCTTTGAGCACCTGTGCAGAAGTGAGGGGCCCTTTACTTACTGTCAAAATCCAGCATTAGGTTTGCAGGAAGAACTGGCCTGGAGGTCAGGAATTGTAGCTCTTTTAAGCTAAATGGCCAAGGGCTAGTCTCGTGCCTCACGTACTTTATCTGTAAAGTGAGGGGCCCTCTGTTATAATTCTCCTGGGCCAAGAAGTCTTACCTATGTGCCAACTGTGAGCTGGGCACTTTTCATTCATCACCACTAATTTCCACAACAATGAAGGATATTTTAGTGCCCTTTGCCCAGGTGAGGACCTGAGACTCAAGCCTGGACTTTACTAGGCAATCCATCCCGGAAGGGTAGAGCTAGGGTTCAAGGCTGGCTCTGTCCAGCTCCAGAGCCCACCCCCTTCTCTCTGCCCTCACCTGGCCAGGTGGCTTAGGGGGGCCTCCCCAGCACTTGGTAGTCTAAGGGCTGGTGAGGGGCTGATGGGAGGACCTAAGGTCTGAGTGGAGGTGGGTGCTGGAGGAAAAATAAGGAAGATGGTATCAGGGCATCCACCAGCTGGGCTACTCCCTCAGCCCCAGACCACCATGGGAGCATGGAGCCCCACTTGGCTGCTGTGGAGAGCTGCTTCCCGCAGGCAGATACTGCTGGGGCTAAAGTAGGGCATGAAGAAATGTCTGGGGCCCCATAACTTCCCCTCAGGCTCTTCCTGTCCTCCCTCCACTAGTTCCTGTTTGAGGGCAAAGTGGGGGCCACTGACTTCATCCCAGAGCCAGATACATTAACTACAGCTAGAAACTGAGACCCTCTGGGTTTAAGAGGAATGTCAGGGGGTGGGGGAAGCCCAGGTAGAAGAGAGCGCTAGGCTCGGCGCCTATAGCTCAACCGGCTAAGGCGCCAGCCACATACACCTAAGGTGGCAGGTTCGAATCCCCAGCCCGGACCCGCCAAACAAC